CCAATGACAATAGCAAAAACATAATTCTCCTCGCCGTGGAGTTCAGGTTCCTTAGTTCTCAAACCATTAGCTCTGGATTACACCTCCCAATCTTTGCATTAGTCGTTGACCTGTACTGGAGTGTTCTGAAGAGCTATTTATATTCCCTAAAAACTTTGAACCTTCTGATTCATTACTCCGCATTCTCCGTGTAACTAAAGAAATGCCCTTCGAAAAACTCAATCTTTTTGGCGGCTGAGTCAGAGCAGAATCGACCAAAAACAATGACCCATCGGAAAGCAACAAAAGCTTACCTATGTCGCCGAGTACCAATACGGAATCCACAGGGGAATCACCAACTGAAACGCTTTTCAGCAAAGAAAGCTTCTTCAAAAAGGAAGTGTTTTGGAAAGTTCCAACTCAGTTGTAGCAGCGGGGGCACTAGTTGCTGCATTGTTAAGATCTGTAGTGAGTGAAAGGACCGTTCCAGACTGAGTGCCAACATAGAATATAGTTCGAGAATCGGATTCTCTAAAAATGGCGAGTGATCGAACTGAACTTCGAGAGTGATTGGAAAGGTCGAACTGTGCCAACGGCCCGATGACGATGCGACTTCTAGGTTCAGCTTTAGCCATTTTTTTTGTCAACCCAACATAGCTTTATAGATGATTGTACCCATCAAAGCGCAAATTCTAAGGAAATTCGGCGATGATTCTGATATGCTTGCACTCTGCTGAATTTGGGAAGAACAGAGTGCTAACACCGTGGACTCCAAGAACCGGAACAAACGATGCTCTGATTCACCGTGAAGGATCGAATTTTTGGGGGATTACCGGCGTTCCTGCGCGATCGCCCCCAATTCCCGTTTTGATGCTCCCTCTCTCAACTGTTTATATACTCTTGGTTGACTATTCCTGTTTCAAAAATGATAGTATGATATACTTCTTCACACCATACTTCTTTTGTTTTCTTCAGATCAAAGCATAGGGGACGGAGTAAAGGCAGATAATGTTCACATATAGTATATCTTTGGATGTTCATATAAAGGATAAATAAAAATAAAAAAGAGTTTTGTTTGAAAAAAAAATTATTTTATATAGAATATAATTTAGGTTATAAGACTTTAATTTATTGTTTTATTAAAAAATGATTAGTTATAAATTTTATTATTTTATTTTGATTTGATATTGATTTGGTCCAATAATTTTCATATTAAAACCAATGGAAAAGAATTGTTTCTCATAGGAGCCAATGACGTATGTTAAAATTACCCATCATGGCTCTTTTTAATTTTTTTTATATCAAAACAGTAGTACTAATGTTTTAGTAATTTTAATTCTATTTATTCTTATTCCCTTTTTTTTTTCTTTTCTTGATCAGCTTATTTCCTTCCTAATGTCATACTAAACATTATATAGAGGAATATATTATCTTATAAATTTTTTAATTTCTTATAAATAATTTTAAGGAAACAATAAATAAATATTATTATAATTTCTTTTATTTGTGAATCGGATTGGTCATTAGGATAAACACACTTTGGAACTGATATATTTATTTAATTTAACTTGAGGATAAAAAAGTTTCAAAATTCCAGCAAAGAACTTTTGATCCTTAATAATCATATAAAATTTTGTAATTACCAAAAGTGTTTTACTAAACTTTAAAATTTTTTTAATTCTCAAACTGAAGTTAAACTAAAGTGAAGCATGTGCCACAAAAGTTTTTCCCTCCTTAATGGATGGCTTCTGGGTTTAAGGGTGCAATTTTGTGATGTTTAGATTTTCATAATACAATTAAATTGTTTAATTGTCATTTTGGTATGCTCAGTTATTAATAAATTTTATGGTATTTAATTGTATTATGGGGAACTTGAGTGTAATTATTCCATTCTTCTGTGGGTACTACACAAGTAATTTAACTTGTTTTAATTGTCTTGGGCTTTATTGGGCCATCGACATTCCCGGGCTGAATTCGGAGCTCCATCATGGACCCCATTTCGTGAACAATCACGGAGTAGCGAAAAGCGTCGTGTCACAAACTCTCCAGAATCAAACCAGTAACACTGACGGCCCTAGAAGGAACATGCATCGTTTTCTCTCTTTCATTCGCCATGCCAGTCGATCCTCTTCTGCTTCGTCTCTGCCTTTTCGTTTTGAGGTCAATTGCTCAGCTCGAAGCTTTGGCAGTTTAGGAGCTCTTAGATCTCATGGATCCTCAGAATCTGCAAGCTTGTACAAGTGCTTCTCGGTGTTCCCGCAAAGCAATGGTAAATTTTTATTCCTTCTTGGTTGATAGCAAGTGTTCTGAAAGGAAAATTTTTTACCTGAATTTTGATATTGGCATAGATTAGCTGGGAGTTCCCTTGTGTGACTGCCGAGAGTTGAGGAAGTGAAAAATGATTTGGTGAAATTTAGATAATTTAAGAGTTGGCATTTGTGCTAATAGCTGAACCTTGCTGTTCTAAAAGCTCACTTTCTGATTTCTATTTAATGATGGCCTTTGTGAGAAGATGATTTTTATCTGGGGGCTTGGAAGAAGGTTAGAACTCAGATTTTGTAGACATGGTTGCAAACATTTCAGTATTGGCCTTTTGTTGGTATGATATTATAATACTGACTTCTTTTTGCTGGAAGGTATTAAGATTGTTTTTTTTTTTTTTTTTGTCAGGGAAAGTATTAGGAATTGAAAACAGGGGTTGGGAGTATATACCGGGTGATTTTATTTGCTACCTTTATATTTTTCATTTGCTTGAATTGGCCATTTAATTCTAGATTGAATGGATTAACCTCTGTGAAGAATGGGCAGTTATGTCCAATAGGACACCACAGTTCAAATTACTTTTAAACATCGTTTTTCTTGCCAAAAAAAAAAAATTGTCTGTTAATTTTAGCGTTATTGCAAAAGATTGTTTAAATTGTGTCTTGTATCTGTTTAGATTTTCCTGCTTCTTAGTACATTCAATTTACCTTTATGTAATAGTTAAATTAGATTTCTGAAAGTGTGAAATTAGGAAAACAAGTGTGTTACACACCTAATGAAACGCGTGATGCTATATTTGATAGTGAATAATCTATCCACAACACAAGTTTGTTTTGAACTTGGTTGTCTGATGTGGATAACTTGATCTTTTGAAACTGCAGAACATGTTAGAGGATTTTCAAGTATGAATTCTGGGTGGAACACTTTGGACAAAAATTTTAATGCTTCCCGTGGTTTTAATCCGGACTCTCAAAGAAGTGTAAACCTCCTCGGTGAGAATGATTCTGAGACGAAGACGAGTTCCAGGCCTATGGACTTTGTGAGAAGAATTGTAGAGACAGATGGTAAGGGTGTTATGGGGGCTGCTGAACTTTCTGGCTATAATTTAGAGCATGATCATGATGTTGTTCATATAAAGCTATTGCGTAACAATACCTTCGTTACTGTGACGGACTCTAAAGGAAATGTAAAACTTAAGTCCTCAGTTGGGTGTTTGAAAGACATGAAAGGAGGACAAAAGCTTGCCAGGTATGCTGCTGAAGCTACAGCTGAAGAAGTTGGACGAATGGCCAGGAGGTTGGCACTGAAATCTGTTGTTGTTAAAGTGAAAGGATTTACTTATTTTAAGAAGAAGAGGCAGGCAATAGAGAGCTGGAGAGATGGCTTTACTAATTCTCGAGCAGGCAGAAATCCAATTGTGTGCGTTGAAGATACGACTCGAATTCCCCATAACGGATGCCGGCGCCCTAAGAAGCGACGTATTTGATTGATCTCCTGAAGCTCTATGTGCAAACTATAAATTCTTCTGAACTTTTGTTACATGCTGAATTCATCTTGAATATCCATTTGATTTTGATGTTGAATTCCAGTATACAGGTCCTGCTTGCATATCTTGTTTACACAGTTTGTACAATACTGATGGATAGTTCTGCTGTAAACAAAATTTCGGTAGAAGTTATTTTTAAAATAACAATTTGACGGTGGAATTGGAAAAAAGATGTTTTCTTCTTATTTGAGATTTAAGATGTATGCACATCTATACATATATTAGGATAAAAAATCCATGTGCATGTAACATGAGAGTAGATCTTTTGGGAGGTTAAAACCGTGCATTGAACCCCCTGGAAAATCTCCATTTTTATTTATTCAATAAATTAAATAATAGAAAAGTTTACTTTTACAATTGATTGTCTGGCCATCCCAATTTAGTTGTGGAATTTAGTTAACCCCAAAATTTTTGCAGTCTGAATTAATTCATAGCCAGCTTCAAGAGCCTCGAACAACAATACCATTGCAAGGCATAAGTCACTTTATTTCCTAATTAAGAGCACATCATTACACAATTTCTCTTGGGGGAAAAAAACAAGAAGAATACACTCAATCTTAGAGACCAGCACAACAAGAAACCACAGCAATTTAGTTCATTTTATTTCTAATATTTGCAGGCACTTCAAATCACATCACATGTGATTGCTGCATTACAGAGTGCCATAATTCACATCTAGTACTCCACAATGATCTTCCCAGTAGCATGACCATCCATAATCTTAGCCCAAGCATCTTCAACCTTACTTAGAGGATATTTAGAGTCTATCACAGTCTTAAGCTTCCCACCCTGACCAAATCAACCAGGTATTGAAGATTTTCACCTTTTGGAATCATTACCATAGGCACAAGTTGCTTCTTGGAAAAGCTAAGTTTCTTTAGAACAAATGTCATCAATCCACTAGGAGTAGGTGTTATATCTATAACGTGCCCATGAGTACTCAAGTTAGGCTCAAAAGTGGACCATGGAATCCCCATTGCACAATGTATCACAACATCATATTTCTGACCTGATGGACTCTTCAATGCAGCACTATCTGGGGTCTTATAGTCCATAACCTCATCAGCTCCTAAGCTTTTGATTAGTTCGATGTTGCGAGCTCCACATGTGGCTGTCACGTGAGTGTTTCCCATTTTTGCTAGTTGAACTGCATAGTGACCTACACCACCGGATGCAGCAGTTATCAGAATGTTCTTTCGATAGTGATCGCTTCCGTCAAGTTTGATCCCAGCTTGGATGATTGCCTGGTGAGCTGTGAGACCAGCAACAGGTAAGCCTGCACATTCTGAAGCTGAGACTTCCTGTGGCCTTAATGCTGTGACACTCTCTTTAGCAACACAAAACTCAGCTAGCCCACCACCATTCTACCATAAATCAATTTCAAGAACCATAAGATAAATCTTTTAATCTAGCTTGAAAGAAAACAATAATACCAATCCTTGTTAACTAATTCACGTTTCTTAAAAAAATTAACATCTTGATTTTTTTTTTTTCAATTTTCATATCTCTTTTGTGGTACTCTTAAGTAGAATAAATTTAACACTTAATTTATTTGAAACACATTCGTTAATTACTTGAATAGAATATAATAAAGTAATAATATAATTGAATACATACACACACACACATATATATAACATATTCAATACCCTATATTTTAAATTAAGCGAGGCTTTTAGATGATGCTTTATATTATGGTTTAGAGAGAGTATAAGGCATTAGTAACTATTTTACAGGTTTTAAAAAAATTAGGTGAAACATTAATGTCTTAAAAAAAATTACATCTTTCTAATTATACTTTCATTAAATTCCAATGTTGTAGTATCATTTTTTCAAAAAAAAAAAAATTGACAAATGATGTAAGGGTATAGTTAAAAAGATAATTATAAAAATTATTTAATATCTTATATTTTAAATTAAATAATCACTTCTAAAAGATATTTTATATTATAGTGCTGAGGGAGTATAGCAAGAGCAATGTGGAAGTGCAGTTATTATTTCGGTGCAACAAAGGGACTTGAGGTACTTACAAAGGAGTTAATCCAAGACACAACTGAATCACCAGGCTTGAACTTTTGAACACTTGGGCCAACCTCAATAACCTCTCCAGTTACATCCAATCCTGTTCCAGCAAGGAATAGCCTCAGAGCAATAGTTCAAAAATATTTTGCAATGCATAAATTAAATTAATTTGATATTATTCTTTGTGAGATGTACAATAGAGATAATTTTATTTTTTTCCCCCAAAAATCATGCCCACTTTTTCAATATTTAAATTTGGCTAAAATATGTTCAGAATTAAAAAAAAAACTGCGGGGAGCTTCATGAAAAAAAGTGTGAAGAAAAAAACAGAAACTTCATGCATGTTAAAAAGATTATCATATTTATAATTTGTAAATAATATGATATACTACGAATTTTATACATTACATTGATGATTTAATCATGAAAATTTAAGTTTATAAACCCCGTACTTTGTATGGATTTTGACGTGAGCTATCCTATTCCTGATCTATGAAATTGTGTGAGTTTTATAGATTTTTTAGAAAAAAAAATAATAGTTGGTTCCTGTATTTTCTTTTTAATTCTTATAATTTTATTTTATTATTTCTAGTCCTTTAGTTTGATTTTTTTTTTTGCATTGTTTGTTCTTATAATTATATATATATATATATAAATAAAAGGACCATGAGCTGGCACGAATAAGTTGATTTTGATATTAACTATATTATTACTTTTGTTGACGTGCACTTAATCTTATTTTCATTCTTTCATATCTTGTTTAAGCCAAATGTAAAATGAAGTTATTTTTTCTCTATATTTTGTTATCTTTAAAGTTAAAATATACAAAATTTTCTTAAATTATAAAATAATTGCATGGAACCTTTCATCTTTAAAAATTTAAAATTAACTATCATAGACTATCCTGAATAAAAAGATTAAATAGATTAATTTTAAACTTTTAGATGTGAGAGACTCCATGCAACTGTCAAAAGTGAAAGAAAGTTTTATGTATTTTAATCTATTTTTAATCATAACCAGTCAATTTATTTTTATGACAACATGTTTTTACTATGTAAACAAAGAGAATCAATAGAGTATTAGTCAATGATAACTCATAGTCTTTACATGCATTTGATTAACATTACAATCCTATCAAACTAAAGAGATCAATAACAACGAAACAAAATAGAACTAAAAACAAAACAAAAAATCAAAATACCCGTTATGTTATATTTTGTCAAGTTTAAATTATGGATGAGAAGCTGAAATGATAAAGCAAAATAAGTGTGAGAAAATACCAGGAATGTGGGGAAACTTGCGAGGAAAAAGTGGGCGATAAAAGCCTTTCTGAACTTTCCAGTCAAATGGATTCAAACTAGCAGCTTCCACTTTTATCAAAACCTCATCTTTGTTAGCTCTGGGAATCCCAACTTCTTCATGCTGCAAAATCATATTATATTCGTTATTAGAGTATCTAAATATTACAAAATTACAAGTAAAACTGCTAATACTACTTTCAACAATGAAGTTCATTTCCCAAGCCTATGCGCACATGAATAAAACTGCCAAATAGCCGCGTAGCTTAAACGGCATGTAACTTCAAGCCATTATCAAATCACATGCCATTCTAAATCAATAAAATATATAGTAAAAGTTATTTTCTTCTTCTAAACTTTTTTTTTTTGTCCAAGAGCCTTAAGTATCATGCAATGAAAGTTGATACAATATCCTCTCTAAACAATTTCTCAAGAGCAAAATAACCCTTCTGTAAGAAATCTGTCATCTTCTTTGTTATTTGCTAAAGTGGAATGGCTGTGGAACTCATGTACAATAACAATAAGGCCTCGTGAAACACTTTTCCACTGTTTCGCTGCTAAAATTAGGCAAGTTCCTGCCACTAATCACTTTCTAACCCTTTGGTTTTTGTCAGATGGTTAAAATGAATCGGAATACCTTCTTGTCACAACACATGAGAGCCCCACAACTATTTAACTTCAGAAAAAATAATAGAAAAAATGATGGGTTTCTTATGGTAGGATGATTTTGCCTTAAAAAAAATTATTGATGAGAGATATTATCTTGTGCTTTAGTACAAGATGCCCAAAACATCTAAAAAAAAAATATTTAGAGAGAAAAATGAATTTTATCCCGAGAGAGAGAGAGAGATAGAGAGAGAGAGAGAGGTCACGAAAGCTACTTCTGAATTAGAATCTGAAACACATCGGAAATGAAACAACAACAACAACAACAATCAGAGCGTTTGTATGTTTGGTTTTGTGATGAAAACCACCAAAACCACAATTCTAGGAAGAACAAGTAACAACAAAACCATAGTTTTAACGATTTACTGGCATGAAACCAAACACTTAAGCATCAAGTCTTGATTATTTTGTTTATCAGCAAACTATTCAGATACATCAACACGAAGGAACATGAAGAAGAAGAAGAAGAAGAGAATGAAGTGATGAGAAAATGAAGAAGAAGAAGAAGAGATACCTTCAAGCCAGAAGGTCCTCCGCCATAGGCACTGTACCGAACAGCACGCATAAGCTTCGCCATTTTCAGATTCAGTGATGGAGTCCAGCAAGCAGGACCATGCTGTTTCCAACCCAAATCATTTCATATCGACATATCATCAATAATATAAAATTATGTGCAATTAAAATAACCTGTAATGCCCCACATGATCCAGAAATAATGTCACTTGGGACTACATGACAAATTTAAAAATTAAAGCTAGATCCGCAGAGAAAAAGATGGATTAAAAAAATAAATTGACCCTTATTATGATCATCAACACATTTTTTCATACAATTTTTTTATTTTAACTTTTAAAAATGATACAATGTGACTCAGTTAAGAAAAGTTAACTTTAAACCATTAGTTACTTAAAAAAAATAAAAAATCATAAAAAATAACCAATAAAAATTTTCAAATCATTTTCCTCAATTTTTATATCATTATTTGTAATTTTTAGGTCTTTTTCTGTAATTTTTATAACTTTTTTATTATTTTATGATCAATTAACTACTAAAACTTACTTTTACAAACTTAAATTGTATTATTTTTAAAATTTAAAAAAAAAATATTATACCACAAATGAATTTAGGATATGAGAAGATGCTGAATTTATAAGTTAGCAACTAATTTTCCTTTAACGGAAAAAATTAAAGGGACTTTT